CAAGCACCATCTGTGACACACGCTGGATCTCATTGGATCGCAATCTCATTCAGCTTGAATTTCATTTTTGGGAAGATGGCAAAGTCGCAGGGAGCCAAATACGTAGAGCAGGGCGGATGGAGGTCTATGATTGAGTTGGTTTGGCCAAATAATGTGCAGACTTCCAATTCACAATGATTGGGCCCATTCTCATGATGGAGTACCTGGTTGCAATCTTTCCAGAGTTCAGGTCTGTCTCACAAAATGTCCTCTGTCAGATGCTTCAGAACGGAGCAGAATGAAACAATCTCATCCAGGAAGATGAATTCAGGATCTCATAAACCAGCATATGTCAACGAAAACCGTAAGCAGAGTCCTAGTCACACTTACATTGGTCTCTGGGTTGTAGCCATACATCCAACTCTTGTCACTTCCCCGTACATACACTCACAATGGTTACCAATGTTCACTTTTTATTGAAAGTCTATTGAAGTGGTGAATATTAAACAGTTTTTGAGGCTATAATTTGTTCTGCTGCTGAACTACATGGTGTTTTGTCTCTATTATTTTGACCAGCCCCTTCAAATCAATGAGGGTGGGCTAAAGAAAAGACGCACACCTTTGTACACTGCAGTACAGTTGAACAACACATCATTCAGTTGATAGATAATCAACATCTATTTAACAAATATTTAATAATGCAACATAAAACATTTTTATTTGCAACATAAAACACCTCTGTGGAATTGGTATTTCTGTGGATCAGGCAAGGCCAGTGATTCTTCCTCAGAATCCATCTCCTTTAGACAGGCTGGCAGCTCTCCAGCAGCTCAATCCTCATTGTGAGTCCCTGAGATGGAGGACAGGGCACATGTTTGCAGGCAGATTGCACATTTGAGGGAATAAATTGCCTCGTAGAGGACCAGACTCCACATTGTCTGTTCCACTCTGTGTTCCTTTGCCTTTAAATATGTTTGTTGAAGACCTGTCATCTGCAGTTTCTCTTATTTCTTTTCAAGGCCCCCACATTTATGGTGTCTGGTAGCGGTGCTCAGTCGGATAGTCTATGTCCGGAAGTGAACATGTGGTAGTGTTTAGCTTTGTAATGCCCTGGGTTTTGTGAACGTCTTGAGGGAGATATCGCATGGAAGGCAACCAGCATTGTGATTCTGGGCCAGCAAACAGACTGGATGTCCAAGTGTTGGAGAACTCTCTTTATCACAGCACTTCCCAAGGGTATACCTCAGTCCAAGCCCCACAGAGAAGGCTTAACATAGTTGCCAAGTCATCGTTAATAAGCCAAATCTGTTTTTGCTCAAATAGTCATGTAGTTTTTCAATGAGAGCTCTATCAGTTTGGTGACTCCTTTTGGCATGAAGCAAGCATTCACTCCCCCTCAGTTAATGGAATGTGTATTCTCACCAGAGACTTCTCTTCATGTGTTTATGTTGGCTCCAATGAATCTTTCATGTTTTTGTTAAAACATCATTTTGAAACACTTCCTCCTTGACACGCATCTCAAAGCTCCTCACCCCCGTAAGTTAATATTTCACAATGAATCAGTCTGAAACACTAATGATTTATCATCCATAGGTGCTTGTCTTTTTCTTAACCTTGTGTGGCCAATATCAAGTTAAATGCATTTGACCTGATTATTTCCCATAGAGGGCCATCTGGTCCAAGAATCAGCTATGTGGTAGTTGAACTGTATTATACAGTGGGGTGCAAAGCTTGGAAGTCATTGTTAATATTTCAACAGATTTTTCCAGTGTTTCATGGGGTTTCCTGAAAATATAAATAGCAATAAATATTATAGCTTGTAAGACAACCTGACACATAAGTATTTCATTGGTCTCCCACAATTCCAAAAAATCTAACTAATTATATGTTTGGTCTTCAGTGATATCGATATTAAAAAGGTCTTGGAGAACCTGGAATGATTTAAATAAGGTCAGGAGGGCCCAGTCTTCACAGTTTGGAGGAGGAAGGGAGTTTTTTCACTGTTAGAAATCACCTAATCTCTTTTCAGTAACTGCAGCAGAAATTTCAACTTCAGTCTTCACATTTCTTCTGCTTTCTAAAATTTCTGCAACACCTTTCCTCGGCTAATGTCCCATGGTACGAGCAGAAATCTCTGCTTTGGATACTCTTTTGACTGTTGTGTGATATTCTAAAAAGCAGTGTCTCATTTTTACAAAGAACAGATTCTGAAATTTGTGTGGAAAACCTGTATTTGATTTGATTTTTTACTGTATTTCAATAAATTTGAGGTGCTTTGATACAATTCAAACTTCAGGGTCATTTACTTGACTTTTTTGCTGAGGCTTTTCTTTGGCTTCTTCCACTGTCTCTATAACTGCTGTTTTGGGGTGGTTCAGTCAGTAAGACTGATGGATTGGAAAGAAGCCTAGACCATTTAACTTTCCACACTGCCATCCAGAAAAGTGCTGCTACAGTTCTGGAAATCTGCGAATCCTCCAATGTTTGATATGTGGCTAAGGAATTTAAGGAAAGGTCTTATAAATTGCACACACATATGTCGAACAGAGACGGATTATTTCAATGAATCTTGTCATTATTACGATTAAAGATGTATGTGAATGGATATTTTTATTAAAAGGCAAAGTCTGTCACAGTATCAAAAATTTTATCTTTTAACTTTATGGATAAGCCATTTGTAACTCGTGTGTTTATATGTCTCTTTTTAAATCCAACAAAAATAGGTTTCATAAAGGAAATTATGTTTTTCTATCTGATGTTTCACAATGGCTGCAAAGAAACCAGAGAGCTGCCAAAAAAAAACTCCCACACTCTACTCATCACAAATGCTCTTCTCAGTGTGAATGCTTGGGAGATTCCATTAACAAATATAAATCAGTCCGAGGGATGACATTGTTGTCAGAGTATTATATTTTAGCCGCTGGACGAGAAGTAAAACACGTTTAAGTTTTGGCGAGCACTTTGATCAGCTGTTATGGACCTGCATTGTTAGACAGGTTAAGCTTTCTTGGCAGAAAAAGATAGATGGGCATGCGTCTGCACACGTACAGAAGACAACATGTAAGTTGCCCTAAGTCTGGTGCCATGTGGTGCTTGTAGTCTCTAGTAACCAGCAACTGTTTGGAGATGTAAGAAAAAACTGTTATGGCAATCCATTTGGTTGAAATCGGCCACTTATAGTCATTCTCTCAGTGTGAAAGTGTGCAGGTCCTCAAGGGCCCATCAGTCCACATGCACTGCTCAGAGGAAGCATGTGACATCTTCCTTCCTTCCTCTGCATTTTGTCCTTCTTCCTTACTCAGTTTGTGGCAACTTCATTTTAATTGACTGGGAATTCACAAATGTTCCCTCGACAGAAAAAGTATTTGGCCAATGAGCATCTCTGAGCTCCACCGAGTCCAAAGTGAAATCTGCCTGTTGTGTTTCATGCTCTGAGCAGACTTTTAAGTTAGAGTGCAGAATTCTGTTTGTTTCTGAAGCAACATCCTCTGATGTTGACAGAAAATCAAAACATAAGACTCTATGTAGCGTTGGTTTATACTTAACACCAATTTTAGCACTTCTTAATACAGTAAACAACTGCATCCCTGATGACATGTGTTGACAGCAAGCACTTGAGTTAGGCAGGTGCCTTCAGCATTGCTTCTTCTGGGTGCCCAGGAGATGTTGCCTCTTTGATTGTTTCTTCAAATATGCAAGCCAGCGCTATGGGAGCAGATTGTTTGTTCTACATTTCCTGGGAGACTCCCACCTTGAGTTTAAACAGAGCAGTTGTGATGATTAGCAACAAAGCGTGCTGCCTCTCCCACAGCCATTGGGAGGAGACAGAAGGGGCTGAGGAACCCTTTTGTTTAATTTAATTTGGCAGTTTTTTTTTTGTTTCTTTATTGTAACTCTCTTTATTCGTCAACTCTCTCTCATTCGTCTACCTCATTCACCAGCTCTCAGTACTTTTCTCATGTATAAGTACAAATGAAGAGTACTACATGATGACATGGGTGTGGACTAAATAATGTCTTCATTATGAAAACAAAGTTCTCTTCATTCAGAACAATTTGTCTGTTGTGTTCAGTCACGAAACAGAGACATGCAACTTCACCACTAAATGTCATTAAATTCTACACACTGATCCTTTAATGAAGATTGAGATTCTGGGGGGTAACACAATTATCTCCTTGGCTCTAGCAAGTTGACAGACAGGGCCTAAGGGAAAGAGCTGTTCTTATCAACCATCTACCCACTGTCACCATGACAGAAATGTTGGCACACACAAACAAATGAAGAGGGGAAATGTATCCAAAGGATCGTGCTCTGATGCTGCATCTGATGATATTGCACATCATGTAGTGCCAGTGTGATGATGAAGCAGGCTGTCATCCATCACATCTCTCTTTTATAAGCTTTATGTTAAACCATGTGTGTAGCAGTCTTACCAGTGTAGGTCTGGACACACGGAAAACAAGAGCCCAACCAACTGAGCCACCTTGATGACTGATTTATCTTATTCTTCCTTTACTGAAGGTTTATCTCTTGCATGTGTTATAAGACACAGCATGGTTTTTACTTTAAGGTTGTGAATTAATAATCAATTCTGTGTGTTACTCAAATTATTGCACTAATTGTAGGATGCATCTCTGCATCTGTGTAAGATTGCTTTCAGAGATAGTTGATAGTAGCTGTTTTGTTTTTGTTGTTTATTAAGAGAAGAGTGATACTGAACCAAATTGCTCAAGTTGGCTGGTATGGAAACTATGGTGTTTAATTGGTTTATGCCATCTGTTGCTGTCTTACCCATCTTGGCCTGTCCGCTCCTGTTTTAAACAGCATAAATGTATTCTAATGTATGTAAATGTTTTATTTCACCTTGTTGTAGCAAATCCTGAATAAATATTTTTGAATGTCATTTAAATCTTGCTTTTTTTATGCAACTGAAAGCAGCCAGTGTGGCATTGTGATTAAATAGCATGGCGTACAGTTGTTGAAAATGTTTAATTGTGAAAACATTGCTTTTCCCCCTGTAGTGAAAAAAGACACGAAAGATGAAACTGACGACAGGACGCCTCAATTCAAGAAGAAGGTGAAGGAGCTTCGCATCTTGGACGCTAAGACAGCACAGAATCTTTGTAAGTATCTCCAGTTACATTTTGACATTTTGCAGCAGATCACCAGACCTTTAACACCATTACTTCATACTCTTTAAACTACGACTTTTCAAATCAGAAGTGTCAGTGTTATTTTCCACGCCACTCCAGGCTTTTTCATACCCCAACAAAACAGTAGGAAGCCCTTAACGTTGATAGTATTTTTTTTTCCTTTGGGGAAATGTTTTATTGGCAGTTGTTAGCAGTCTCCACAAGTGCATATAGACTGTGTTCAAGCTCCTTGTCTGTAATCATGTGAAAAACAAATTTCTATCATAACCAAGCACTAAAGCTGCATGTAGGGTTTTTAATCCCTAGAAGCACAAGTGGACTAAATGTCTAGTGAATGCCTGTTTATTTACCTGAACCACCAAGCTTCTCTTTATTTTAGTATGGTGGATTGGATGTTTTGTTGTTTTGGGCTAATTTCAGGCCTTCTGCCTCAAAATTTCACAAACAGCTCGGCCTTGGCAACTCAGTATGAATCCCCTTGATTTTAAGCCCATGAAATGTTTGTTTGAATTCAGAACACAAAAAAAAAGAATCTAAGTGGCTGCTGGCAGTGTTGTGTTAATTGGTGGGTAGAGTATTTCTTATTGTTTTCCCATCTCTTAAAGGTTTCATCCACAGCCTTGATAGCCCTTACCTTAGAGATACAATGTAGATGATGACACCTCATGAAATATGCATGTCAGCTGCTAAGATTACAGGTCGACCTCTTGCAACCCCTACGCGAGCCCCTTTGTTTATCCATGTCTTTCTTCCCTGAAAGGACATGGAGAAGGGTATGCAGCGGCCACTGTAGACTGCAAACTGAGTGTGTTTATAGGTGGTCCTGTATACTGTGGGTGAGAAATGGAAGTTAACCAAAATGTAAAAATAAGCAGAGGTATGCATGTAAATCAGACAAACACCAACAGTCATTTGTGCCTCAAAACCAATTTCCATCCTGTGTGCTGCTGATACATTATCTTCCATGAACAGAGGGCGGATGAATGAGTTCATCAGGCAAAATATTGGGGTCTGATGTCAGCTAGGGGCATGTGGCAGGAACATAAGGATGACACATAGCAGCGTCTGTTTGCGTTTGCACTTGTGAGCATGTGTGCACATTTCCAAATGTGCCAGTGTGCGCATGTCACTGCACTTGTGTACGGGCTGCCAGGATGTTGATAGGTGTCTCTGCCATCTTTGATTACCGCCTGAGCAGATGGGCTTTCAATTTGTCATGAGGCAAAAATAAGTGTAGAAAATCTCACTTCCAGAGCGGCGATGGGTGGGACAGAGGTTGTCCTACACGGCTTCCCAGAGTCGCTGAGACACATCAGCATGATAGATCATAGTCACTGGCTCCTGCAGAACCCTTTCATGTGTCGTAGTTTGGAAGGTTCAGTGGGTAGTGGAACAACATGAATGATGGTGATGTCAGTGCCACTTTAAGTATTCATGGTACAGTGGTTATTCATACATCTAATAAATTGTGTCTGCCATCTGTCCGTCTGGCTGCCCCTACCTGTAGCTTTTACAATAGGCTGCAGGTGAGAATTTGACTTGTCATGAAGACCTGAGAAAATACAGTTTACATTATTACACAGTGAGATCCATTTTGACTATAATCCTCCAATGAGGATAATTCTGTGACTCATTGCTCTTTGTTATTAAAGCAAAGGGTTGAAACATTATATCTAAATTATTTTTTTCTGTATAAATGGACAAATCATGTTGTGAATAAAAGGAACTTAAAGAGTAAGAAGTCTGCAATTATGTGATCCAAGCTATAGAGGAACATGGAGCTGGGTACAGCAACAATAACTCAGTACTTAATGAGAACATACTTCTTGATTTATTTAGAGTGCAATGTGCATTAAGTGCAGACCTCAAACCAAGAACAATCATATCCCATTTGAATCATCAGCTCATTTGTAGCCTGTTTACATAACAGTAGAACAATTCAGCATTTTTAGAATTTTGAAAAAGGGTAGAAAGATTAATTGTCACTGTAGTCTTTAAAAAATCTTTGACACTCTGTAGGCATAGAAATTATTCAAAATCTATGAATTCCACAATGGATACAGAAGCTGTTAGTTGTTAGAGCTGCAGCAATGGAGAACCACTGCACCAAATTTGCATTGTGCTGCAGAATTTGCATTAATTTACCTTCACTTGGACAACTTCTCTTTCTGCCAAAGTTAGACTATCACACAGCTAGTAAATGACCCAACAGATTCAGGCTGACCACACTCTACAGTGGCACAGAGCAAATAGAAAGAAAAAGATTCATCTGCTGACAATGAGAAACATACAGCACTAAGACAACAAACAAGGATGACAACTTCTATTAGATAATATTATAGCTCAGTAAAGATATAATAAAATCATTGTTTAAAATGTATAAATAAATGCAGATCAGCTAAAAAATGTGGTTTGTTGGTGATTTGTGTTTTATTATATGGTATAAATGTTCCCTTTATTCTGCAGTTCTCTGTCACTAAAGCTGAAACAGTAAAGCTTGGATGTTTAACGTTCATACATTACACCACACATGAAAAACAATAGTAATTGCATTACATGTAGGAGAATTGATAACATAGTAACAGATAATTAAAAGGGAGAAGAAAAGATTCACAACCTCCTTTTGTTGCATGTAAAATGCAGACATCAGGTCCCAGTGCTGAAGTCGTATAACAGCTGTTGAGTGAGTCTCCTCCAACTCATTACCAAACCTCCACCTGTGACTTCCACCTGGATACACCATCAGCTCCAATTTCCACTGTAGACACCCCACCTGGAGATTAACTCACCCACGAGGCTGTCCCCTCAGGCAGATTCAGTGTGCTGCTCCTCATCCGCCCAAACAAAACCACATAGTTTCCCTAGATGACACCATTATCGTTAAAAGATGCAGCTAATAGTTTCTTGTTTTTACAATTAATATTGTTATTATTTTAATTTGATTTTTTTTTTTAATTCAGAATCAAGCAGGGATGGTATTACTGTGGCACTTTTCACTGTTTGGGGTAAATGTTGATGTTTTCCTTCCCGTTTTTTCGTCCGGGTGACAGAAACTATCCCGTTGAGGGGCAGAAAGTGTATTAGATTTTCCAAGTGACAAGTTAGGTCTGTGGTCATTTTGTCTGAGGAGCGATGAGTGCTGAAATGTCTCTTTGAACCCTGCAGTCTAATAAGAAAAAAGAGAGGAAATGACTCTCTTCTCTCTCCATCACAACAGCAATTTTCTTGGGCTCGTTCCGCCTGCCTTATGAAGAGATCCGGGACATTGTGCTGGAGGTGGACGAGGAAAGACTGAGCGAATCACTCATCCAGGTAAGACTGATGTTCAGTGTGGTGTGTTAGTTTTTTCACTGTCTCTCACTCACTCACACACTCTTATATCTATACACACACACATGCTTATTTTTATCCTCTGAGAAATATGTGCCTGTGTGGGTGTGTGACAGAGCGACTCTTTGTTCATGTTCATGTGAAAATAAATGTTTTTTTGTTTTTAATTTGCCGTGTCTGGCTGGTAACTTGGCAACCACGTTTTGGTATGGTCTTTTGAATTTGGACAAGTCAGTCTCCTCATTCTCATGTGGACCACAGAGACCCCCCCTCATTCATCCTCTTATAATGGATGGTGAAGGACAAGACTTGGCAGTGTCTCCTCAACTCCACCCTCCTTTCCTTTTGCCTTTGTCTTAAACCGTGATTGATGAGCCTCCTAAAGGCTACTTGTTTTTGCTCCTATTTTATTTTTGTTTTTCTTGTCTCAGAAAGTATTAATTGAAAGCGGGGCAGGTGCATCCGAGGTGAAGATGCGTTATTGGGCTGCGTGAGCCTCAATCTGCACTAATATTTCTTGCCGTGTCCTCATGTCAACCGTTGCTGCAGTCTTACTATCTTTTGTTTATGTTCGATATCAGTAGAAGAAGGTGTAGACCTCAGGAGTGAGCTGCAAATAGAAGATTTGATTTCAGGATAATATTGACAGAGATTCACTGTGTTGCTGGCACAAGTGTTGTATGTAAGATTGTTATTTTTAGATATTTTTTCCAACCATCCTTGGGCATTGTCCGAGTGCTGCTTTCTAGCTTAAGTCCAGAGGTGTCCCCTACCTTGGAGAAATAATTCTATAAAAGAGTTACCTTTGTACTGAGGGCCACATGGCTTATCAACAATAACTCACGCAGTAGTCTGCCTCCTCCCCACTGCTTGGATCCCAGACACTAGTAAATAATGGTGGGGTAATATGTACAGTATTTAGATTGGTCCTATCCAGAGAGCTGCCCTGCAGGACTATTATTTTGGGCTCTGATAACCTTTAATTGGCTCGCGGTCTGGCAGAAAGTGCAGCGTGAACGTTGTGAGATTGCAGACCCCCCTCTGCTTCACGGAGGAGAAAGGAAGTTAAGGTGTTGACCTTTACCAACCTTCAGCCTTTCGATAGCAAAGTAAAAATACTCCATCTGCCAGCAGAGCAGCTGTGTCCTCAGCACCGGGGTCTTGTTGCACACAGCACCAGACAAACGACTGGGCTGGTTTACAGCATGCGTGGATAGCAGGGGAACAAAGCACTTCTCTTGCCACCCAGCAGGTACTACTGACCAAGCTACACTGAAGAAACTGCTCAGTAATCTGGTTTAACTGTGAGGTCTTGAATAGTTTTCGCTCTTCTCAAGGCTGACAAGGCACTGGTACAGATTTAAAGGCAAAAAAATTTTTTGTGACAAACCCAGACAAGATAAAAAGCTACCCCTTCCATTCTCACACTTCTTTTGAAGTGATGCATTTACAGGCATCTGCTGTAACCTTTTAAGATCCTTTTATTCAGTGTTCAAAACAGGAGGTTCTTGTTTCCACACAGTAGCAGCTACTCACCCTGTTTGAGAGAGTTTCTGTTGTTCCTCTGTCCTCTTCCATATCCCTCTTTAATAAATATGAACCAGAACACTGAGGCTGCTGACAAAGAGACAGGCTCACCAAGGCTCAGGAGAGTGAGTGTGAGTTAACAAACATCTGGGAATCAAGCTAATGTCACAAAGTAAAGGGGGGACCTACTGCGTTAACTCATCAGTGCAGAAGGAGCCCACAGTGTGCAAGTGAGTCACTGCTTATTAATGCTAAAGACAGAGTAATGCCAGGACTGGACAATTAAGACAAAGTTCTTAAGAAAATGTTTGTAGTGGGATCTGTATTTAGTGATCACATTTATCCAGGTCAAATTAATCACTATAAGCAAGTGTTCGCTCTAACTTTGCTAAAACTAAGTTGTTCCCCTTTATTTTCCATGAAGATTACCATCTAATTGACACTTGTATACTAAGTACATGAATATAAAGTAATGCAATCAAAACCTTCACTGAAGAAAACATGTTGCCCTCTCCTGCTCCAGGTCTGAATGTCAAGGTAAAAGCATTATACTCCCCTCACGTAACATACCTGCTGCTGTGAGACAGTGCCGACGACAGTTACACACCGAAAGTCCTAAAACGTGACCAAGGCAGTGAGAAGGTATCACATTGCGTACAATTGCATACAGCAAGCTCACATAGTGAACATATGTTGGCAGAGCAGGGGACACGCTGAAGGAGTCCAGAACCTCCTGCAATTAAGTTGAAAGACAGCTAAGAAATTGAAAGTTTCACATTATTGTATTTAATATCGTTGTGAACCCACAGACTGAATATGGATTTTATTCTTGCATCATATCAAATGTTGTATCTTAAATGCGTTCATGTTCGCAATGTGACACTGGGTGGATGACGATTTGGCAAATTGTCCACTGACATTTTATTATAGAGGCAGTTCCTCACATTTGCCCTTTGCTCTGGGATATCACTCAAAGTTGGTCTGTTTCCCTCTGTCTTGTTTTTTGTTTGTGAAATGCTCACTTCCAAAGAAACTGATCTTTAATCAGATATTTTATGTCACACAGTTGCTGCGGTGGCGTTTGCTTCTCGTGAAGAACTGAAATCTCAGATGTGGTGTTTGACGGACAGCGCAAAAGTTTTTGTTTCGCCGTAGAGAAAAAGGTTTTCTGAATGTACACAGTGTTGTAAGGTAAACTTTGACAAGAGACAGACAACATTTTTATTTATGTGAAAACGTTGCTTAGTCACAGCTTGTGAAATAGGAGAGAGATGATTTTAGAATAAAATCATGCAAAAATGAGCTCAGAAATTAAACAAGGAAGCAAACGGTACATGCCCCAGGGAATATAGTTAGGGCAGCAAAAAGACTTCCTGCTGGGTGACACAGTCCTGAGTGTGGGCTCCATCTGCACAGCGCTCATCTACACTCATTATGCTGATTAATCACTCTACACCACCCACTTTCAGCCACACGCCAATCACCATTTATCCACATGGACAACACACACATTCAGAGTAAAGGCGTCGGCATGGCTTGGGCAATTACAAAAGGAAATGCATTTACCATCTTGATAATGTTAGGAGTGGGTGGGGTGTACACTGCAAATACACACAAATAAAAAAAAGAGATAAAACAAGATGGAAGGAAAGAAACATATTTAAATAAAAGGAGAAATGCAAGATGAAGCCAGTATTGCCTCTGATCATCACTTGTTTAAATACTGCTTTGCTCCATTAGTTGTTACTTTTCACAGCTTGATAGCTTGATGTCACCTGCTGCCACTTAATTTATTAATTAAAAATATAACAATTGGGTGTTAAAAGTGATTTCTAATTTAAAAACCCTTGTTGGCATAGGTACCACCACGCGTACATATCAGTTTTTTTTGCATAGCTTCAGTGAGCCTTTTTATCTGTTTATTTAAAGCTAAACTAATGAATTCCCCAAGCTTGAAATTGATATATTGTACTTGACCAGCAGTTCTACAAAGTTTGCCTGGATTCACAGGCATTGATCAGGAGCTCTGATAACCACTGGCTCCAATTTACCTGGTCTCGTAGCACTTGACACAAGAGGAAAATAAAGTGCTGCAAAATTTGGCCCAGTTCAAAATTCTTCCGCAGCGTTATTTTGCACAGACCTGTGACAAGTGGGGAATTGATAAATGGAAGGAATAGTGAAAATGGAAGGAACCAAGGAAGCAAGAGGTGTTCGTAATGCATCTAAAACTCTGTAACTCAATCTTATTATCTTCCTTCTCCGTCGACATGTCTAATGTAATGATTTGTCAGCAGAATATGGCAGCTCGCTGGCCTTGAAGTACCCCTACAATGTGTCACCCTGGCAGAGTAGATAGATAGGAGTTGATTGGCTCTCCTTATTCTGCATTAGGGCCCATCAACGCTTCAGAGATGATGTACACATCCCTGAATGCTGTCAGACAGTCCTGGCTCTCAACATTCATCCAGGCTCCGTATGAATCCGTGCAATTCAACACTTTTTTTCATCTCCATGCACCCGGCATACAAACATACGTACAGTACATGCAAATGGAAAGACGGGGTCAATTATCTTGGAGCCGCTCCACGGTCATTTATCATCCCACCAGTGAGTGTGTGTAAGGACGGGAGCAAACACACACGCTCTTGCATGTTTGCATGCAACCTCTCTCTCTGTGTCTTTCTCCCTCCATCTCATTTCCCTACAACACTCATCGTGCAGCTGGACAGAGGTCACTTTTGTATATCAGGTCAGCCTCATCAAATTTAAAAAGACATCAGAGCCACACCACCATCATATTCTGTACAACAATGAAATGAAGGAACAATCAAAGGCAATAATGAACACTGGCGCTGTGAAAACAGATTGAGACTCTTGGCAAAGGTCTGCTTTTAAAGGCCTGACAGCCTGACAAAGCTTTTCTTTTTTATTGTTGGCTGGCAGCAGCAACAGCAAGGGAAGGGTCCTGTAGACCTTATTTGTGTGTAAAAGAGTCAGCCATGTGTGCTCTGGGCTTCAGGGGCCTGGTTGCATTGTGTTTGTGTTTAGTTTGACACTACAAGACCCCCAGAACGCCCTGAACTAAGTGCATATTCTACCTCACTTGCATTGTTTAAATCGTTGGCCATGACCTTGCTGTCTTTGACTTTACTTTTCTCTCCTTTGGTGCTTTGATTTTCCAAAAACCCTCAGAGCCTCTTTGCACCAATGGGGAAGTCTCAACTACCATAATGATGGTCCCAATGATGGTCCCTCACAGTTCCTGCCATGGAACACAAGGAGGCTCAAAACACTTAGTTTGTTAATAAGCACTATTGAATGTTGTATTCATCAGGTACACATGCAGGGGATCACTGATAATACTTTACTACCCAGGTTTAGGAGGCCTTTTCTTTACCCCTTGTGTCTTATTTTTCTTTTAAAATATTTCTGCTGGACAACCGTATGTTCCC